GTCCCATATTGCTATAGTCATTTATACTCATACCGCCAGTTTAGGATCCCATCTTTATTTTCTTGCGAGTGTAAATTGTTCACTTACATGGAAAGCACAAACAGCTTTTTGTTTTGTTTTTTAAAATCTTTCTGAAATCGATCTGTGAACACATGAAGAAACAACCGTCTAACTTCACTCATAATTTGTATATAAACCAACTAAAGTAACTGAAGTGTTGTTACGACCCCCTCTGCTAGGCGACAGGAAGGGAGAAACATACACAAGCCCTCTCACGAAATCTGAGTAAATAAGGGGTTTTATTACAAACATTAAACTGAAAACCGACGGGGCTGTTCAACAGACCACCGGGGAAACAATTAATACACAATGAAAAGAACAGGCAAGAGTAAAAGCTAAGGGTTAACTAAGGCAAGCCAGCATCACAAAACTCTATTGAAACTAAGTTCAGCTGTATACCAGGTTTAAACAAAGAGCAACACAGCAAACAGGTTTAACAAACAAGCTTCACATGCAAAGCAGACGAGGAGGCCACTGCATGTTCACCTCAGAGCAACAGTTCACCATAGTGTGACGGATCTTCAGCCTTTTATACTCCCCGGTGCAGACAATCAGCCAGTCAATTGGTCATGGAGTGGTCATGGGATCTGCAGGCAGCCAGTCATCCACGAGTCCTGGCACACTTAGATTTGCATAAGCACAAAAGGGTAGTCTCACTCTCTCCAAGGCCCAGGGCCGTAACAAGTGTTAAATGGGATGTTAATGGCTCAGCATGTGTAAAATATTTTATGAAAGAAAACTAGTTTGTATAAAATTATGTTGCATGTAATTAAACTGTGATATGTCGTTCTTCTTTTAACCTTTTTGGGTTTATAAATAGAGAAATAACCTAAAACTTTAGGCCTGTATGTATTTAGAGGCCTATCTCTGCTTTGTGCCTTGTTACTTTAATACTGTGTACCTAGGGGAGAAAGCTTTAACTTAGGCTCCGACTCACCTTCAGTCTGCTTTTGATTTGTTTCAATTAGCAATCTCTAATCACCGATTAGTTTCACGTGCAGAAAATGCCAAGTTAATGGCATCATCCACTTCTCTCTGTGATTCAGTCTATCCTGTAATAAACTAAAAATGTCAGCCTTATTACTGTTCTCGAATATTACAGAAAACATAGTAATTTTGACAGCAGAAATTTAAACTCACACCAAGCTTCTTTTATATGCACAGGATGTCTGTTTTCTTCCAGCTGTGAAATGACTCTGCAGTGCCTGTCATATCTGTCCTTGAATGAGACATTCTGTCAGTGCTCCAACGTCACTGCAGTGATAACACTGTGTGACAGCTTTCATAGTCATCAGTGGATATTTTCTTGTTTTCATTCTCTGTAAACCCTGGAGACAGTTGTTAGAAAATCCACACGCAAACATCCTTCTTCTCCATTCTGATGCTTAGTTTAACTTCAGCAGGTTGCTTTGATGTACGAATGCCTAATGCCTAAATTGAGTTGCTGCATGCGACTGGTTGATTCGATATTTATGTTAATTAGCAGTTAAGCAGATGTACCTTACAAAGTAGATGGTGAGTTTAAAGCTCTATTATCATATTTTTTCTCTCAGAAATCTGGTAACGCAGTACTTCATGTACACACTCACCTTGGTAGAAGAGTTTTTCAGGAACAAAGCAGTGTTTACATGGAATGAGCTGCAAAGTATCCTAAACTGGAGACGTACTTTCACTGATTTATAGGCAGATTTGTTTGTTTTATTTTTTCCAACTTTTTAAAAAAATGACTCTGTCTCTATCTGCATGTCAGGCACACTGATGGTGATCTCCCTCCTGTCCATTGTGTATGGAGCCCTGCGCTGCAACATATTGGCCATCAAGATCAAATATGATGACTATGAAGTGGACGTCCGGCCTATGGCTTATGTTTGCATATTCCTGTGGCGAAGCTTTGAGATTGCCACTCGCGTTGTGGTTTTGGTCCTGTTCAGTTCGGTGCTCCAGCTTTGGATCCTGCCCGTGGTTCTGCTGAACTTCCTCGTTTTCTTCCTCTACCCCTGGATCCTGTTCTGGCAGAGCCACTCCCCTTTCCCTGAGAATATAGAAAAAACTCTGACCAGAGTGGGAACCACCATCGTGCTTTGCATGCTCACGTTCCTCTACGCCGGCATCAACATGTTCTGCTGGTCTGCCGTGCAGGTGAAACTCAGTGACCCAGACCTCATCAACAAGTCCCAGAACTGGTATCGCATGGCCGTGTACTACATGTTGCGTTTTGTGGAAAATGCCTTGCTGCTCTTGCTGTGGTACATCTATAAAACAGACATCTACAAGTTCATCTGTGCCCCGCTGCTGGTGCTGCAGCTGCTGGTAGCCTACGCCATCGCCATCTTTTTCATGCTGGTCTTCTACCAATTCTGCCACCCGTGTCGGAGGCTCTTCTCCTCCAGCATGACCCAGGGCCTTTGGGATTGCTCTTCACTTCTCTGTCTGATGTGCAGCTCTGGCTCTCCACAGAAACGGCCCATGGTGAAGGAGGCCCCAACCCCATCTGCGCCAAAAGAGCCAGCCACACAGCGGCCCCACGACACAGCCAGTGACAGCACAGACGACATGCCTAACAACACGACGTATGACATGCTCAATGACACCACCTTCGACACGCCGAACGAAATGGACAGCAACATAGGAGGTGGAATAAATGGCGACATTAGCCACGGTGTACCCTGCACCGTTTAACGCATCAGAATTATTCTTACGTGCCATTAAGAGGACATTATCTAACTTTCTTTAACCTTTTTAAGTGCCACATGGATCCCTCATACATCCATTGCAATTCTACATGAAGCAAATGTGTCCTTAACGTGAGAGCTATCCTTGCTGTAAACGCGCAGCCTGTCTTATCAGACTACATGCCAACAATTCATCCTGCAGCCTTTAAAACCAAGAAAAAACCCACAGGCACCATCACCTCACTCTCTTCTTTAGGTTTGGAGACCGTCCACGTATATGCTGCATTTACTGATCACAAGGAGCCAATGCATTTGAAGTGATTGTATTTAGTGTCTCTTTGGCATGGAGGCGTGCATGTGTGGAGCCTCAGATGAGGTGTAACTGGCTACTCTGCAGAGGAGGGGGACAGCCGGCCCCGTGCTAGTTTTTTTGGCCGCAATTATGCTTTTGTACTCCTTAATAAGAGCTTTAAGATTAATACGCGCTGCTTTTGTGACGTGCTCGTGTTTGATGATGAGATGTTAATCGCCACACGTTGTAAAAGAGCCTGTTCCATCGCCAGACATGTTACTGTAAAGCACGGACATTCCCAATGTCTTTTGCACGTTTACACAAAAAAAGAAAGGACTTTGGTGGTTTGGTTCATTTTTTTGAGCAACCAGCAGCTGTAGTGATGTGCTTTGTTTGGATGTATTTGCATTTTCCTTGTCTTATTTTTGCCTATTATGTCTGTCAACTGTGTTTCTGTCTGTCTGTCTCTTTAGTTGGAATATTTACACTGAGTGCACGCGAAACATTTACTGTATCTAACTGAAAAAGAGTCTGTGTTTTGAACTGTTAAAAGTATTTATTCTTATTTCAACCTTTAATGTACTAAGAAAGCAAGAGAAAGAGAGAGAATGTGATTGTGGTTGTTTTTGCACTAACTACTTTTTGCAATGTGTCTGCAGAGATATGATGACCTCGGGAATCACATGAATGCTTCTTATGTTTGTACAAATAAGAAAAGCACTGTTTAAGCCAAAAAAAAAAATTAATATACACATCAAACATATAGAGACACAAAAGGAGGCACTGAAAATATGAAGTCGTACTTTAAAAAAAGAAAAGAAATTAAATTTATATTTATATGTGAATATTGTCTTGCATTATTTTGATCTTGTCACGCAATATGAATCTGTGCTGACCTCTAGTGGTTGATCAGTGAAACTGCCTGTTTTAGCAAATCCCCGGTTGCAGATGACTAGTGAATTTTGCTCTATCCTGACTTACTGAAGTGACCTGGGAGGGATCTGTGTGGCTAGTTGGAAGCTCTAAAGGCAAATTAAAGGTGCCCACTATTTACTTAATTATCTACTTTAGCAAAGGTGCATTGGCACACCCTTTATAAAAGACTTCTTTTCAGTGGGGTGGAGGTGGACAGAGAAAAATCAGGATATTTAATCAGAAATAAAAATAAATTTGACTTTAATGATGAGAATAACTTGCGGTTCAGTTAAAAAGTGGGGCAGCATTGTGCACCAGCTGAAGATGAGACAGGGAGGACTGGTTAACACCAACATACAAAGAATTACAGTAATCCCATGGTAAAGATGTGGATTATGGTTTTAAAATTAGATTTCAACATTTTTTTTTTCCAAATCTTCAGCAACTGTCTCACCTGAAAGAAGCTGGATTTCACCACTGCACTGATCTGACCATCCGGTCTAAAGTCGCTGTCCATCCTAAAACAAAAAAAGTTTGTGACAGTAGGCTATCCATACTGTGCCATAGGGTAAGTCCCACCGGTGACATCAGAAACAAAAACAATCACCTCTTAAAATTTAAGACTTAGGCTTAAGATTTAGAGCCATCCAAGCTTTTAGTTTCTCAAGACATTCAATTCAAATTTGAATGAAGCAGTCATCCTTCCCAATAGCAGAGGCCCAAGTATTGAGCCCTGTGGAACCCCACATGACTAATATGAAAAGTTCTCTGAGCCAGGTACGCTCTGAATCACTTCAGAGCAGTGCCAGAAATGCATACACAATGCTCCAAGTGGTATACAAAAATATGCTACACTGAGTTGAAGGTAAGTTTAAGCGCAAATGTGGTGCTATGAAGAGACCAGAAACTAGAGTGAAGGACCAAGTACGTTTTACTCCAACACTGGTTAAATCCATCCTGTCATCCAAAGGTGTTGGCCTTCAGCTTCTTTATCAGTGCTCACTAAAACACACTGTGGAACATCTTTAAAGACTTTATTGGACAAAATTCAACAAAAACAGTCTTGAACTCAACAGTAATACAGAAGATCTAAAAAAAAAAAAAAAAGAAAAGAAAATCCTGGTTACAGGGACTGACCATTAAATGCATCACAGAAAAAACACATTGTTGTTTTGTCTAAACATTTCAAGAACTTATTAAAATATTAATATAGACTAGTAGAAATACAGTATACTGTAGTGATTACTTAAACAGAGCTTCTCTAACATACAAAGCTTCTTATAGTCGTAGTTCAGTTTTATTAAGAGAACATGAAGGAGACAAAGTTGCAAACATGCTAACATTTTCTAATTAGCAGCACAAAGCACAGTTGAGACTGAAGGAATGTCATATATTAAAATTAAAAATTAAAATAGTTTTTCCTGAGGGATGGATGAATATCAGTGCTAAATTTAATAAGAAACCACCCAATGAATGTTCAGATATTTCAGTCAAAAACACAAATGTAAACTTCCTGCTGCACACAAAGAGCAGTCATCTGTTTTACACAATAGGAAAAAATACAGTCAACATGTGGTACTTCTGGGCCAAAGAAAACACCTGAGCATGTTTGAAAAGTACTTTTCAAACAGGTCTTTTTGCAGATCATGGCTCCAGTCCAGACCAAACAACATTTTGTCACCGTCAGACCTGCACGTATTCACAGGCTGCCAACTCACAAACCAAAACTGTTGTTCCTGCCTGCGGGGAGAAATAGATACTTGTAGGTCAACGTCTATCAGAGAGTATAATCAGAGGATCTTCAGTGTCATTCAAGCAAAGTTTGAGACATGACGGTGTTCGAAGATGGAGAGGTGGGCGCAGGGCTGTCACAGCGCCACAGCTACAGCAAACACACTGACCACACAGTACATGGTGCGGTTCTCCCACCTGACAGTACAGCTCCCTGAAAACCCACAGACAAGCAGAGGAAATTACTCCAAATCATACATGAAATACATGTTTTTATGATTCCATTTATAAACCAGTTTAGTGGGCAAGTTATTCAATAGATCAAAAGAACTGACCAACAACCACGGCACTTATGCATCAACATAAGGGAGGCAAATCTGGTCTGAGTGTTGGGGGGTGTTACAACCCACCTTTCGTAAATGAATTAACCCGGTTTAACCCAAAATGTAACATCAGTGTCATATCTAAAATGCAAACACGGATATTAACTATTATTATTGTTATTTCCACAATTATAGCTCCAAGTTGGCAGCACAGTGGTGTGGTGGTTAGCACTGTTGCCTTATAGCAAGGAGGTCCTGGGTTTGAATTCACCCCCTCTCTGGGGGCTCTCTGTGCCTGTGTGGGTTCTCCTCAGGTACTCCAGCTTCTGTGTATGTTAGGTTAAATGGAGATTCTGTATTATAGCAAGAAAATGTGATTTATTCTAACATTTGAAAACAAAAAACAGAAAGGAGGTTTCTGGCACAACTTCACCAACTTCTAAGCTACATAGAGAAAAGAATAAAAGATCAGTCTCTCCAGTCTATTTAAGCCTAGTCCTTGACTAAAAACTTCTTTCAGTGGCAATCATAATCAAAGTTTTCTAAGATTAGGCTTAATCCATGTGTGGGAAACTGAGCCTTTAACTTATCCTGTTCTCTGTGTACCTTGGACGTGGGTGAAGCAGTCCCAGAAACCTCTTCTCTTAGGAGCGCTTCCTGTCAACAGGGACGTTTCAGTTTTAATGAAAGTCTGAAAAAATTAGAAGTCCAGCAACTAGTGACGAAGTCCAGAGTGTAGATCAAACAGTTAAGTTGAGTTTTAATTTCCTCCATGGGATTAATAATTACAAGAACGCATTTAGGTTTCATTATGATTTCATCTGCTTGCAGGCAGGTCTATGCTGGTCCGGCTATCTACTTATATTTTTATTATAAGATCATTCCTCTATTTTTTGCTGTGGGTGATTGAGTACCTCTGCATTTTGACTGTTATGGTTATTTTTTGTTTATTTTAAATCAGTAAAAAAAAAAAATCACTAGGTAAAACTGATTATTTTCTCCTCTTGGATGTGGAGGAGAAAAAGTGGCACATCACTCTAATGTGTTATCATTTGTGCCACTTCCAATTAAAAATATTGGATTTAAATGATTTTGAAATAATCTTTGTTTGGTTTTTTGAGTGTCTCACCATCAGTGGCTGTGTCCCAGTAGCAGGAGTTGGCTGTGTGGAGCCCAGCGCCGCTCTTCTGCATGATCGTACAGTTCACTGCGACAGATCAGAGAGCGGCTTTACAACAAACACACGCTTACCTTCACACACAAACGCTACAAATAAGCTTGATGTCCCGGAAGCTCACGTTATCGAACACAGGGACTTGCTCACCTATGTATTTGAACGCCCGCCCTTGTTTCACCAGGTGAGTGAGTGAATGCTCCACTATACTGGCCGTCCACTGGTTGACTTTACTCTGGTTATAATCTGTTCCACCGATGACGCCTTCAACGCACTGAGATGAAATCAGTAAACAGGAAGTCATCCATCCATCTGATTGCATTTAAAATACTGTTTATAATGAATGTTTCCAAAGATTAGAGAACATACCTCTTTTACCGAGACACTGATCTCATCGGGATTAAAGACGACCTGCAGGATCAGTTTTAAAAGAAGCACAAGGAGGATCTGGGTTATTCCATGAATGTTCAATCACTGCCTCCACCTGAATCCCTCAACATCAGCAGATTTTTTTGTGCAATCATTTTTGTATATTTAATCAAGTGATGCAAAATCTGATGTTCATGCTACAAAAATAGTCCTCGTTACAGGTCCTTGAAGTACACAGGGCAGGCTGAAATTTGGCCCTTTTTAATTCATCATATTTTTCCCAGTACACGAGATTAAAAACGACAAGTGAGAATTTCAAACCAAAATCTGTTTTACAGGCAACTTTGACACCAATATCATAGGATACGTCATAGTTTCAACTGCAAAACTGCACAAATGAACTCCTATGACACAGAGGAACAGAGACGTGCATTTGTATCCTGGATGTTTTATTTGTTTTCTGACAATTCACTGGCGAAAACCTCAAAAAGTACATTTTGATTAAACCTGGTGATGTCATAGGCAGCTGGTTTAAAAAGAAAAAGTTAAGTTTTAATCTGAGTAAAAATAATCTGAACTGGAAGGCATCCTAAATAAATCACATAAAAATTCAGGTCCATGTTTCATTTGTTTTGTTTTGTTTTTAAATGCACGCTTCGGTAATTTTATATGCGTGTGTATTTTCTCTAAAATAACGTGCCCATAAACGCACCACTAAACTCTCATTAGGGTCGACATTCTGCTTTGAAATTAAAGTTGCATTAATTACATTTTTGAATCAAATAAATCAAATCACAGTTAAACTAAGTATTACTAAATGAGTCAACTTGCCCTCACCTCTGCAAGTGACTAATAACCATTTTATTTTATTTTTAAAGAGAGCAGGAAGTTCTTGTCCTACGGCGCTTCCTGTTTGTATAGCAGAGGATTTATTGCTTTGTATAATGGAGATTTGAGACCAAATCACAGAAGTGTCCAACTCTAAGCCTCAAAGACCAGTGTCCTGCAGGTTTTAGATATCAATGATTTATTCGTTACCAGCCTCTGAAGAACTTCAAGACATGTTGAGGAGGAAAATTAGTCATTTAAATCAGCTGTGTTGGATCAAGGACAAATCTAACACCTGCAGGACACCGGCCCTTGAGGCCTGGAGTTGGACACCCCTGAAGGCTTTTCTCATTTTTCCAATTTGTGCCTCCTCGTCTCCTATCCCTATTCCTGTGACCTGGAAAGCAATGTCAGTGCACCACAATGAAGGATGTTTGCATCAGGAGGATAGAGAAAACTGTATTATTTGTTATTAATATGAGATGATTAACTGCATGATCAAATTTTCCCTTCATTGTATTTGAGGCTGGGTTAAATTAAAACAAATGTTATCGCCTTAAATAAATCTGATAACAGGACCACACCCCGCTAACAGGCTAAGCTAGCAGCTAGCTAATTTAGCTGTAAGTTTCCTGCTGGCTGCTTTGGATGAACTTCGCTCTTAAAGAAAGCCGTACCTCCTCTCCAGAGTTATACTCCTCCATCGCTGCCGTGACAGATAACACTGCTGTCTGCCCTCTTTGTGGTCTCCGGTGTGTCAGCTGTTATTGTTCCTGTTCACTTCCTCTTGTTCGCAGATGACGAGCGAAGACAAGAGCTTGACCCGCTGCCTGAAGCGGGACTCTGTTTTCTCTGTATCGCCTCGCAGTGGCTCAGTTCAGACATTACAAAAGCGTTTTAGCACAGAAGCGCCACACAGAAAGAAATATACTGAGAAACACAAGGGGAGAAAACATTTGTGAAACCTTTAGGATGACTAAGATTCATCAAATATGTTAGAAAAATTACTATACTTATTATATTACTATTCTTTTTTAGGGGAAAAACATGGTCAGCAACAACACTCAGGTAAGTTGTGGTGTTTAAATGGTGCTCCGGTCCAAAGGGCTGGCAAGAAAATATCCCACACACCATTACACATTTCACTCTCTACTCACGTCCTCTGATGCAAACAAGCTGCCAAATGTTGCCCATAAATGCGAAATGGATTTAAACACAGCATTTATAAAGGATGACTGGCAGGAAGCCCTGGTCAAACCTATCTCTACATTTAATAGACTGAGAGAGACTCAGTATAAGATTTTTATGGACTACATATCACTGTTGTTTTGCACAAGACAAATCTCTCTCTCCCTCTCTCATCTGTGCATTAAGTGCCATTCTGATAGGGAGGAAGCATCAATTGATTTCCAAGTTCTGGACAATGATTTCCAAGGAACATAATGAAATATTTAAAATAAAGATAAAATGTTAAAATCCTGGTGTTTTCCTCTTAAGCCTCCCCTCCTCAACCACAGCGCATTAAAGCCTTCTGGAGAAGTTCCTTGTAATTGCCAGAAAGTGTATTTTACACAGTTGGGTCAAAGCTTCTGAGCCAAGTGTTACCCTTTGTTACCGGGAATGAAAAGACTACACACAACTTTGTTTTGTGTGTGTGTGTTAAACTGTTTGGTGTTCATTGATAAAACTTAAGAACAAGTATTGGGGGAGAAACAAAGAAGATTGCACAAAAGCGAAATGGTCTAATTGATTAGAATAATTATTAGACTGATCATTTTTTATTTTTACAGATAGCATTTTGCTGTAGCCTACTTGTAAAACAATCATACTGCATTATTTTCATTTGCTTAATGGTATGATGGCTAAGCATCCATCCATTATCTTCCTCTTATCTGACCTTGGGTCACTTTTTGCAGCAGGGTAAACAGGATGTTGTTGACGCCCTTCTTCAGCAACACTTTCCAGTTCCTCCTGCAGGATTCCGAGGGGTTCCAGTGCCAGATGAGATAAATGACCTTCCCAGTCGGTTCTAGATCTAACCCAGGGTTTCTTCCAGGTTGGGCAAATATCTGAAAAACCTCAAGAGGGAACCACCTCAAGCAGCTCCTTCTGAGCCAAATGAGCAGTGACTCTACTCGCCGCCATCTCTAAGGCTGAGCCTAGCAATGAAGGCTGGGCTGTGGGTAAAGGTGGGTGTCTGGGCATGTTGACCCCCAGCTTCACAGACTGGCAAAAAGCATTTCTTAATTTTTTCAGATTTGTTGCAACATTTTTAATTTGATTAAATTATTATTCAATCATATCTCTAACCCTTGAAATGATCCCAGTAGGTGTTCTTTTTTTTAAACAAGTTACTATATTAAAGAGTTCACTTCCATTTTGCGGCTGATTGCTCAGTGTGTTGAACAAAAACAGACAAATACAGCTGCTTGGTGTGTGGATGGATGAGTCAGATTGTGTTTGACATTTTAAATGTAACCAGAAATCCTTTTTATTTCAGACTCCTGCACTGTTTACCAAAAGGTGTGCGGCACACAGACATAAACATGTGTGACTTGTTAATATTCATTTGTGTGTTTTATCCAAAGATAATCAACCCTCCCAGTCCTTCGTGAGACTAGTAAATAAACAGTCACTGTACAGCAGGCATCTCCTGCGGCCATTACCACAGAAATACAGACTCCCAGAGGATGCCAGCAGGGAAATCCATAATACATAATGTACTAGCAGTGACAAGGGGGAGTTTCCCTCAGCCTAGATCTGCACTGCAGTGTGAACCGACTTGCCCTTTAAAGTTTAATTTATACGACAATAAGAAGAAAAAGAATGAATGTCGCATTGTCAGAAAAGAGCCATTTCTCTGTCTCTCTTTCTCTCTGGCTCTCTCATTCACACACACACACACACACACACACACACACACAC